TCAGTGCTCCAGAGTTTGGCGAAGAGTGAAGATGTGGTCAATACAAACTCAGCCAGGTCTAGATCCAGCCTGGTTCTCACGCGTGCACTCTTAACGTGCGGCAGACAATCGACGGAATATGATGCCAACGAGAAGTTTAGAGACGATGTTAATTAAACTAATTCCTCTGTGGTTTTAACAAGAGGATCTATCACCTTTCTTGTAAATCGGTATGATGACCGATTCACACCATTCAGCTGGAACCTCCTTTCTTTCCCATATTGAGCCCAGGAGTTTTGTCAACTCTAAGACTAACGCTGAGCCTCCATCCTTAAACGCTGATGGGAACAGCCCTTCGGGGCCGGAAGCCTTATGCCTTTTGAGATACCTTATTTCCCGGGTAACCTCCAGTTCAGATGGAGGACTGGCAGCGACTGGCAGTTGAAGCGAGAGCGTTGATATCCTGTGTCGACGGGGGCCGGCTGAACTATGCCTTAAGACGTTCTGTCCAACGTTCAAGACGGCCTTCTTGAGTGTGAATCAGTGTGCCGTCAGACTCCTCAATTACCTCAAGCCCACTTTCCTTGGTCTTGTTCTCCTAATTAAAAGAAAAAGTTTGCGACTATTACCAATAGCCGCAGTCTTCTCCATCTCCCTACACTCTCCTACCCACCACTTCTCGCGATCAGACTTTTGGTGAGCTGGCGTTCAAGGGATTAGCGCACTTTGTCATATTTTGAATCCGAAGGAATGGCTTTGCGAGCGTCCAGCAAGACAACCGAGGTCGGAGAGATGTACCGTTTTTTAGTTGATCGTGCACCAGAATTTGCCGTTGTTTTGATTGACGTTTGGATCGCTTCCTTGATTACCATCCAGTGTTTACTGAGTCCTCCGGCTGGTGGTTGAGCTGGGAGGCCATCTGATAGTTCCGCTTCGAAGGCTGAGTGCATTGCGTTTCGAATGGTTGTCCAATGTTGATCTAAGCTACTTAGTGGGGTAGCAGTTAGCCTTGCGGCCAACTCGTTTTGGTAATGGGCTAGTACTGCCGGGTCAGAGAGCTTGACGAACAAAACCAGTGCGTGGTCGGACTCCAAGCAGGTAGACCAATACGAACGGCAGTATTTCGCACACCCTCTCCATCTATAGATAATAGCTATATGGTCAATCTGACTCCACGTCTGTGCCGAAGAGGGGTTACGCCAGGTGGCGAGGTGACG